CAGAAGATAAACAAAGTGGAACAAGGAAAAGGAGAGCAGTTAGCTATAAATCACAACATCAACCATTACCATTAACGAGCATCAAAATACCAATCACGAAATTGATTCCTGGAGGTCTATAATTGATTCCTGGAGGTCTATAATGATATTGTGGAGGTTTGTAATGATATTCTGGAGGTCTGTAATTGATTCCTGGAGGTTTGTAATGATATTCTGGACAGAGCGGTGAAACCGAACTGTCATCATCAATTACAACGCGGCTGTCAGAATAAAGTACTAATTGAATACACGCCAGACAGTCTTAAGTGCACCTTCGTAGAACGACTTTTTGAATTTGAACTATTATGTTTCAAAAAGACAACGTATTTTCGTGAACGAATATTATTCATGGAGTGAATAAAAAAGATAAAATCAAGTGGAAAATAAATATGTGTGTAAAAATATGTTGTTTCTCTCTTTCCTAGTTAAATGCAATGAATGATTTGGATGACACATCCGCGTTATCAAATTTAGAAAAATGCTTCCAACATGAACAAATTTATCTAAGTTTTCTTTAGATTTGCTGATGTTCAAATGAATTTTAAAATCAATTAATTCAATTTTCTCATTATTTACGTTCGCTTCCTACAAAGTGAGCTTAAATGTGTTTCAGGAGCCATGGGAATAAAGTGGCTTCTTAAACACACAATGGCTTTGTTCCACCGAGTGCACAAATTTGTTCTACTCATTGAGCATGTCAGTAGATACTTAACCTCACTTTTTCAAACGTTTCTAAAATATGAATAATGTTATTTAAAATGGGTTTTCATATTAATACACTAGGTATATTTTTATAAATAATTGAAATATTTTTTAACCAGAATGCTTGAAATATGTACTCATGTACTTATGCATACTTTTAGCGCGTTCCGCAACGAATGACAACCGACTACGCGGTCCCCGTTGTAGTTTGACAGTTCGGTTTCACCGCTCTGATTCTGGAGGTCTGTAATTGATTCCTGGAGGTCTATAATGATATTCTGGAGGTCTGTAATTGATTCCTGGAGCTCTATAATTACATTCTGGAGCTTTGTAATGGTATCCTGGAGGTTTGTAATTGATTCCTGGAGGTTTGTAATGATATCCTGGAGCTCTGAAATTACATCCTGGAGCTCTATAATTACATTCTGGAGATCTGTAATTACATCCTGGACATTTGTAATACAGACCTCCAGGATGTAATTACAGACCTCCAGGATGTAATTATAGATCACCAGGATGTCACTGCAGAACTCCAGGATGACATTATAAACCTCCAGAATATCATTACAAAGCTCCAGGATGTAATTATAGAGCTCCAGAATGTAATTTCAGAGCTCCAGGATGTAAATACAGACCTCCAGGATGTAATTATAGAGCTCCAGGAATCAATTTCCTGGAGGTCTATCATTACATCCTGGAGGTCTGTATTTACATCCTGGAGGTTTATAATGTCATCCTGGAGCTCTATAATTACAAATGTCCGTCCGTTGTTCGTCCGTTTGACACCTTTAAGATAACGAGATGGTGTCTAAGGCAAAGTAATAATTTTTATCAATCGAATAATAAAGTCAAATTGTGACACAAATTTTTGATAAAAAGTTGAAATAAAAAACAACATCGAAATGGAGAAGATAAATTTAGATAAAACAGTAGATCGTAAACGAAATTAACTGTAGGATATTTAAATGAAATATTCTTTGCTTATAAATAAAGAAATAAGAGGAGGAAAACGTTTCAACGTTTGTAGTGGAATTTATTTATTTATTTATTTATTTAACACCGCCAAAAACTGGCTGAATATTTTGGTTTGCAGGAAAACGACTCCAAGAATCGTGAAAAACCTGATCTTTTTGTGTTTGTACAATTTGCTCTTGAAGAGGTATTTTATATTGACCTGCGCAACATCGTATACAATGTACTCGTTGTACAATAGATTAGAACGAAGTTGAGTATCTTCGATCGGTTTTTCTGTAAATAAATATGTCGGTTATTATAGGTCTACTTATTACTAATATTTATCGTAGTTACCAATTGGGACGATGACACCATTTTCTTGTTTGTAAGCTACAGCTGGATCGGGGTAGGTCTTTCCCAGCCCTTTCACTGACTGTTTATCATTTGGCAATGCCTTGATGTAGTCTGCTTTGTTTAACTCAAGACAATCACCCAAAGCCACTTCACTCAGTAACATCTAAGAGCAGAATGAAATTTGTTATAATTTGGGAAAATGCTTAAATGAAAATTTATAAACGTTGAAAATATTACCAATCCTGTGTTGTTTGAGTGTGTGGTAGCGCAGTAGTTTGCGGACTTCGTAAGCATATCAGCAAAGTAGATACCTTGAAAAAATGTGATTTTCATTTATTGAATTTTTCAAAATTTATTTATTTATTTATTTATTTATTTAACACCGCCAAAAACTGGCTGGAATATTTTGGTTTGCAGGAAAACGACTCCAAGAGTCGTGAAAAACCTGATCTTTTCGTGTTTGTATATACAATCCGACCGGATCTTACGAGTTGGACTTGAGAAAACGTGTAGAACAGGCAGGGGCCAAACTGGCATTATACGCAAATAATAGTACATTGCAGTGTGAACTATACTGCAATCAACCAGTCGATTTTTCTAAACCAAACACAATTGGTCCATTGATGGGATTTCGCGACGATCAGGTATAGTGGTTAATATCAAAATGTGGTAAACGCCGGAGTGAAATTCGGAGAGTTCATGCATATGTGTATGATAAATACATAGGTGCATGCGCTCTCCGGCTATACAGGTATTGGAAGCATATAAAACGCATGATTCACAACTTCCGGCTAACATTTTGAAAGTAAATGTGATACGTGTCGA